ACGTTTGACTGCCTCTACTGCACTTTTCTGCTTCTTTGTTGGTCAAGCTTGATTTCGCAAAATTTATTTATTTCAGTCAGCTATGAAATGTGAGGTTAGGGTATACAATGGGTTGGTAGCTTCCCCGTCATTTTTGACGGGCTATACGCTAGTGTATAATAACAGTTATTTGCTGTGCCAGAATTACTTCATGACTTGTTTTTAAAGTTTTGGGTGTTTGGTCAGTAGCACTATTGGGACCTTTTAAATGTAAGTATTGTTCTATAATAGTATGTATGCATTTTTTGGCACCTTCTTTTTTTAAGGATGTAGTCTGATTTCAAATTCGAAGAATTGGTTTAATGAATTATTGTTCAATGATTAAAATTAGGATAAAGCTGGCGTTTTCTGTTTTAACTCAGTATGGTTAATTTTCGGGTGGTTTGGTGGGAAGTTAATAGTAACTTGAATTATCGATCGTGTGCCATTTTTTGAAATGCTGGCTATGTGCTTGTGTGGAACATACATTTTAGTTCAGATGTTGGGCGATAAGCATTACCTCTACCGTGTGTATTAGCGCAGTATCAGACAGGGAAATTGTAAGTGTGCGATGTACCCGAGTTATGGAAGGTATTACGTGTTTACGTAAAGGTCACAAAGCAGTGTCAAGGTTTCTTCACAACTAGTACCAAGTAGTGACGTGAAGAGGCCCCAAGACTTAGTGAGTCTTCTATTTTCATTGTTAACCCTAGAACGCTAGCGTGGGATCACTATGACCTCATTTAACCTGGTGTTAATGATTGAAAATTTAACGCTGGCATTCTAGGGTTAATTTAATGTACGTATGTAACAAACAAAATTAGAGCTAGTGCACTGAATAGCACAAAAACAAAGTAATAGGCCTTATGAAAATTAAATGATTCAGTCTTTCAACTGTAAAACTATAAGCCTATGTTACGCTTAAGAATAAATCAAAACCACTCGCAGTGACGATCGGAAATGAGAAATCCACTCAAAAAGTCCGTTGAATAACTAAATTGCACTGAATTGCAATCGTAATTATGGTTCGTCTGTCGAGGAAGAAACATTTACACATTCCATTTAAAGTTGTTTCATCTCGGGTGTAGTTTTAAATCTCGTATAAGCTCAACGGTGGCTGCAAGCTGTAGTTACCGATTTAAGGTAATGGCGCGAAATACGTTGAAACTAACTGGCCAGCAAATAATACAGATACAGTTGCCTA